AGTGCATATTACGAATGTGAGAGGCTTAAACACCAAATCGGATAAAACACATATATGGGAGCTATAGCTGTTCCTGAACCGATTTTCTTTCAATTTCAAATTTGTTGTATTTGCTTTAAGGCTAATCTCGGTCACATGTGCCAAAATTCGGGCCATTTGGGCTGATATTGGCCATTTGGTGGTCAATTAACCCGAAATCGGATGAAGATATATATGGGAGCTATATCCAAATCTGAACCGATTTCGATAAAATTTAAAACAGCTATTTCTGTGCTCCATCTAATACCTGGTACCAAATATCACGGTTGTGGAGTGCATAGTAGGGATGTTAGGGACTTAAAGATCAAATCGGATGAAAGATATATATGGGAGCTATAGCAATATCTGAACCGATTTTCTCCAAATTTGATATACTTGCTTCTAGGCCGAACTCGGTTGGGTGTGCCAAAATTCAGGTAATTTGGACTGATAGTGGACATTTGGTGCACATTTAACCCGAAATCGGATGAAGATATATATGGGAGCTATATCTAAATTTGATCCGATTCTCACCAATTTCAATAGGGTTCGTCCTTGGGCCAAAAAAAATATTGTTTGGAAAATTTCATCTCAATCGGATAATAAATGCGACCTGCATTTTGTTCACAAGAATACATGGACAGACGGACGGACGGACGGACGGACATAAATCGACTCAGAAAGTGATTCTATGAAGGTTCTCAAAAGTAACTATGGGTCTAACTCGTTTCCTTCTCCATGTTACAAACAAATGCACAAAGACATAATACCCTTACCACTATGTGGTGTAGGGTATAAAAAGTCCACTAAAAAACATTCTCTACAAATATCTCAGAAAAATCCTGCTGGCTCTCAAATATTTTTTTTTTTTTCTAAAAAATCTGCTCCCTAATATTTTCTTTTATCCACGGCTCTTTAAAAAATCAAAAAAAAAAAAAAAAAAAAAAAAATCTGCACCATTCCTATCCTATTCCTCTCGTATTGGAAAATTTCTAGAACTTCTGCTTTACTCACGGGATGGCAATATGAATTTTGGCTGGACCATCGCCGTCTATGATTTTTTTCAGGGCAATTATACGAAACTCTTCGAGGAAAAGCTGGCGGAGTAGAGACATGAGATACGGTAGATTGGATTTCTTTTAAAGCAGCTTCTCCGACGACCTCATTCTCCAAACTACTACTGGTTTAGAGATTGCAATATATATCCGCCATAGAGTTGCTAATTTTTAAGAAGTCAAAAGTTTTGTTACAGGTCAAGCATATTTTTTAAAAAAATAAAGTTCGAATCTCTGGTCTTCCTTCACTCTCGAACTTTTCTCCACCCTTTTTTGTTTCCTGGAAATTTTTCAATTTTCTATCTCAAGTGCTAACCACGGCCAGGTGTTTGCTGAACAAATGGCAAATTGACTTTCAAGGAAACCCCACTAAGCAAGTACCTGCTAAAAGCTCCATTTAACTTGGTTTTCTAATCTAATTTACTTAAGGTTTTCCAAATGGTATTTATCTCCCGCCACCCCCTTCCCCTTCCCCTACAACAAAATATATAGTAATTTTCCTGTTGTTGTTTGTTTTTGTCTAAATGGCTTTTGGCCTGCTCATCGTTCTGTTCAGTTTTAGCTTGTGAACAATGCAATTTTGCTCCTAATGATTCTGGTTTTTTCACAAACTTTAGCACATTATCTGTTTAGTTTCGTTTCGTTTTGTTCTTTATTTACTTGTTACCTCTTCCATTTTTTTGAGATTGCAGATGTTCTCTTAAATGTTTTTGTTTCGAGCTGTGACTTCATATTCATTCATTTGCCGTGTTGCAGCCTCAAATTGAAAGTCATAACAACGACCTTGACTTGTTAATTATCTTGACGTTAGGGTTATGGTGATGATGGTGGTGTTGGTGGGGTGGGGTGGCAATGCAGTGCTGTGGCAATAAATTTTTGTGGGTAACATGTTTCCTTTGCCTGCTTGCTGGTGTTCTGGCTGTTGCTGCGGATTGTTCTGCTTGCTGGTGTTTTGCATTTATTATGCTTCATTTGTTGTTAATGCAAAAACAATTAGAATTAAGGCGGATCTTCATTAGATATAGTTTTTTTTTTTTTGTTTCTTTTGTCTCTCAAATTATTCTTCTTTTTTTTGTAAATTATAATAACAAAACAGCTGCACGAGCAGCAGCAGCGAACATAGAACAGACACAATTTGGATATCATTATAATAATTGTTATTATTGATTTACATGATTATGATGATGTTGGTGGTTGGTGGTTGTTGATTTTATTTTTGTTGTTGATGTTGTTGTTGTTGTGATGTCGTATCATCATGACAAAAATTTATTCATTATTGTATTGAATTTTTTCCGGACATGCTTTAATTGAGCATAGCATGGGAGTGAAACAAAAGACTTAGAAAACGAACTTTGCTGTGAACATTTTCGGAAAAGGGGTCTTAAAGGCACCAAAAAAAATATATATTTTTTTTTTCTAAATCCAAGGTTTTAATGACTTCAAAAAATTATAGAAAAATCGAAAAAGAAAATGTAAAACCAGAAGTCCAGTTAGGCCGACTATCCAGGATGATGGATGGAAAAATTGCAACCAACTTCAAACTGCTGTGATTTATAAGCCACTCGTCCGACAGCTGTTAAAATTATTCCAGTGATAGCTCATTATATTGTTAACAATCGTACAAAAGCATTTTGGTGACAATTTTCCAGAAAAAATAATATTCGTGATGGAATTCAAGCGTGATAGTGTGATTTCTTTATATTTGGCTGGAAAACCACAAGTGGCTATCGTTAGAGCACTCCAGCATTTAAATGTGAATAAATCTTTTGTGTCTCGTACCATCGCTCGTTACCGTGATATAGGTAGCGTAGCCCGACGTCAAGGAAGTGGACGGAAGAAAACAGCAACATCTGAAGAAATGGTTCGCAGTGGCCGAAAAATGGCTCGTGAGCTGAACATATCGTAATATTCCATTCGGCAAATATTGAAAAATGAGCTCGGGGCAAAGCAATTAAAAATCTAAAAAGTGCAAGAACTTACACCGCAACAGGAAGAAAATAGACTCAAAAGAGCTAAAGAGTTCCATCCCATGACCATTTGATTTCCTCCGATCTCCGATGAGAAAACATTTGTTGTCCAGCAGTTTGTATACAAACAAAATGATCGTGTTTACTTGCCAAAGAAGTCAGCTGAAAATGTGCACCTTCGGTTGACATCACTCAAGCGCCGACCATGGTGATGATGTGGGCCGCCATAACATCCGATGGTCGCCATAACATCCGATGGGCGTGGCATCAGAATATGTGCCGAATATCATCCCGAAAGTATTGTGGATGGTATACTAAAGCCCTGGGCATGCAAACATTTTGGCCGCAGACCTTGGACAACAGGACTCAGCACCATCACACTCAGCAGGCGCCACCCATGAATGGTTACAAAATGAGGCTCCTCGCTTCATTTCCAGCGCACAATTGCCACCAAAAATGGAATGGAAAGCAAGGTTGGCACTAAAAAATATCAAAATGTCGATCACCACAAGAAAGCGCTTCGCCGGGAATGGGCCAAAATACCGCAGAGCAACATTCGGACAGCTTGTGACGATTTAATTGGCCGTTTGAAGGCCATAATTCGTGCCAAAGGTGGCCAATTCGATTAAATCTAAACTTATTTTAAAATTTGAAAAATACAAATACAAAAACAAAACAAAATACAGCAGATCAACATTCGGGCAGCGTGATGGTTTTATTGGCCGTTTGAAGGCCATAATTCGTGCCAAAGATGGTCAATTCGATGAAATCTAAACTTATTTTAAAATTTGATGTTTTTTCTGTCGGATGTGCCAAAGTTCAGGTTATTTGGACTGATATTGGCTATTTGGTGCACAACTAACCTGAAATCGGTTGATGACAGTTATGGGAGCTATAAGACATTACAATACTCAACTGCGAAACTTGAAAAAAACTGGTGAATAATCTAGCTACAATCATCAAAATATAGGGAGGTACTACTGGGGGCTACACAAAAATGTGGATCTGCACAGACAATTTTCTGTCATAGACTGTAGTATATGGATACTACGAACTTCAAATACCAAATTTTAAACAATTCCGGGGAATAAAGTCGGTAAAATTATTGAAGTGGCGAATATCGGGAGATATCGTAACATGGGGGCTATATGAAGACGTGGACCTGCACAGACAATTTTCTCTCATAGGCTGTAGTATCCATTATGAACTTCAAATACTAAATTTGAAATAATTCCGGTAAATAATGTCGCTAAAATCATCAAAATACCGAATATTGGTAGGTACCGTTATATGGGGGCTATACGAAGACATGCACCTGCACAGAAAATTTTCTGTCATAGGCTGTAGTATCCATTACGAACTTCAAATACCAAATTTGAAACAATTCCGGTCAATAATGCCGCTAAAATCATAAAAATACGGAATATCGGGAGGTACCGTTATATTGGGGGCTATACCAAAACATGGACCATTTTCAATACCAAAAGTCCTGCAGACGAAACATACATTTGGGCAAAATTTTATCAATATACTTCAATTCGTTCGGAAGCTAGAGTGATTTCCACAGACGGACAGACAGACGGATAGACGGACGGACATCGCTAAATCGACATAGAATTTTATGCTGATCAAGAATATATATACTTTGTGGGGTCTAAAATGTGTATTTCGAGGTGTTACAAACGGGATGACAAACATAATATACCCTCCATACAATGGTGGAGGGTATAAAAAGGCATGTTGTTGAGCCATGAATGACTCTTAAAAATATGTTTAGAAAGATACAAGTTCTACTCTATTGACGCTTGTCAAAAGCCAAATTTTTGGCTTCTTTTATTCCTTCCTTCATTCAGGGCTCTTAGCTAACCTCATAAAAATATAATTTTTTTTTCAAAAAATTTAATTTTTTTTTTAATTTTATATTTCATTAAAACACCTTCCATTTTCCCTTTTTTTGCAGCTTTTTTAACTCCGCTCCGCCCATATCAATGATGAATCAGGACAATCCATATGCGGTAAGTGTTACAGATATAAAATCACAAAAAAAAAAAAAATTGTCACAAATTCTTTGGGAGTGACAAGGCTCGCCGAAGCGAAATTTATGACTGCACCAATGATTTTTATTGGTGAACCCGAAAAACATCAAAAAATATATATGTCGAATATTATTGTTATTATTTTTGTTGTTGTTGTTGTTGATTTTTAAGCGCAAGCCATTATAATAAAAATGCCAAAGCAAAGCTGATAAATATTTTATAATTTTCAAGAAAGTCAAATAAAATTTATATCTCTTGATGGTGTATGTGTTGACAAATTTTTTTCACAGTATCTGTTTTTAGAGATCCATCCCCGGTGGATGTGTTGTTGTCTTTTTGTTATACTTGTTGTTGTATCTGGTGCTAAATTTAACGAGCTGAACAAATGATCAAATAAAGACAAGCCATAAAAACGAACTGAATTGTATTCGTATTTAACGACTTTAACATTTTTGTGTGTTGATAATTAAAGCCTCCGCTCCGCTCGCTCCCCTCCCCCCTTACCCCTTAAGACACACACAGCCATTGAAAGCAAAGTTATGGCCCACTGGAAGCTTTCCTATGCCGGTGTTGGTGTTTGGGGTGTTACTATTTGGTCAAGTGTTCGGTCTCTAAAGTTGTGGCGGAAAAATATCGTTCATCTACTGGCCATGTGACGTATGACAAGGTAGAGGAGGGGTGCCTGCTTTAAAAAAATACTAATTTACATACGAAGTACTTAAAAGCCAAAGCTTTAATTTAATTAAAAATTCATAATTCATATTTTATGATATCATATCTTTTAATAAGTTTTTTTTTTTTCGAAGCCAAAGATTATTGGCAAACACTTTGTTGGAGTCGTAGGAAATAAAAAAAGTATATATAATAATCGATGGATGTGATTTTAATATCATATAAGTTATATGAATAAAGGGTGTTCCACGTTTAGAGGCCTTTAAATATTTTTGAAAAATTATTTAAAAAATCCACGTTTATAGGCCTTTAAATATTTTTCAAAAATTATTTAAAAAATCCACATTTAGAGGCCTCTAAATATTTTTCAAAAATTATTTTAAAAATCCACGTTTAGAGGCCTTTAAATAGTTTTCAAAAATTATTTAAAAAATCCACGTTTATAGGCCTATAAATATTTTTCAAAAATTATTTAAAAAAATCCACGTTTAGAGGCCTTTAAATAGTTTTCAAAAATTATTTAAAAAATCCACGTTTATAGGCCTATAAATATTTTTCAAAAATTATTTAAAAAATCCACGTTTATAGGCCTCTAAATATTTTTGAAATATTTTTTAAAAAATCTACGTTTATATCTACGTTTCAAAAATTATTTAAAAAATCCACGTTTATAGGCTTTTAAATATCCTTCAAAAATTATTTAAAAAATCCACGTTTAGAGGCTTCTAAATATCCTTCAAAAATTATTTAAAAAATCCACGTTTAGAGGCCTTTAAATATCCTTCAAAAATTATTTAAAAAATCCACGTTTAGAGGCTTCTAAATATCCTTCAAAAATTATTTAAAAAATCCACGTTTATAGGCCTTTAAATATTTTTCAAAAATTATTAAAAAAATCCACGTTTATAGGCCTTTAAATATTTTTCAAAAATTATTTAAAAAATCCACGTTTATAGGCCTTTAAATATTTTTCAAAAATTATTTAAAAAATCCACGTTTATAGGCCTTTAAATATTTTTCAAAAATTATTTAAAAAATCCACGTTTAGAGGCTTCTAAATATCCTTCAAAAATTATTTAAAAAATCCACGTTTAGAGGCCTTTAAATATCCTTCAAAAATTATTTAAAAAATCCACGTTTATAGGCCTTTAAATATTTTTCAAAAATTATTAAAAAATCCACGTTTATAGGCTTTTAAATATCCTTCAAAAATTATTTAAAAAATCCACGTTTATAGGCCTTTAAATATTTTTCAAAAATTATTTTTAAAATCCACGTTTAGAGGCTTTTAAATATTTTTGAAAAATTATTATAAAAATCCACGTCTATAGGCCTTAATATATTTGAAAAATTATTTTAAAAATCCATGTTTGGAGGCCTTTAAATATTTTTGAAAAATTATTTTAAAAATCCACGTTTAAAGGCCTTTAAATATTTTTAAAAAATTATTTTAAAAATCCACTTTTAGAGGCCTTTAAATATTTTTATTTATATTTAAATATCTTCGAAATAATTTTTAGAAATAAAATCCGTTCTGAACCAATTTTTGTTAAGATTTTTAAAACCTATGCTCCTATCTGACATCAAATAATTTTTTTTGCCCAAAACCCTGCATTTACATTTTTAATAACAAATACCAATAAATTACATTGAATGCCACCTATCTTGGCTTCTTCTGCATGACAAGCAATTTTGCTCTGGTTTCAGGGCCCCCAAATACCAAAAAAAAAAACACCAATCTAAATGTAAATTTTCCAACACATGGTTTGTTTATTGCGATCAACACTTATGGACTAAACGTTTAGCTCTCAGGGCGACCTAACTTATTTCAAAGTATGAATTTAAATTGTTAATAAGCTTATGAAACAACATGTCAACAAATAGTTTAACATATAAACTAGCAACAAATTGGGGTATTTTGCTACCAAAATTCCCTAAACTATTTTCGAGCCTTACCGAAAACCTCTTACCCCCATCCGATATTCAATGCGTAAATATGCTTTCGAGCATAATGATTCACGCGGCCCGTTTTAAAATAACTTTTTGCCAAAATACCAACCAACCGCCCGTTTTTTGTTAACGACATTCAAAATCGGATTAACTTCATAAAATATAAGCTTAACAAAGAAATAGAACTTGATAATATGCAGATGTTGACATTATTTCATTCGATTGCTTTGGACGTACAAAGCAAAACACAAACACCTAATGAGTTTCAAATTCAAGGAAGAAACAAAACACAAATGGCCATTGGCATCGTAAAATTTCAGATCAATTTGTTTTTAAATATCCATTTATTTGTATTTTATGTTTATGTGAAAACAAATAATTTCGAAACAGAAAAAAAACCAAACAATGAAAGAAATAAAACACAGGTAGTAGTACAGGTTTGAGGGAGAAAAAACTTGGACGTAGGGATTATTAAAAGTTTCTAAATACCCACGGAAAATTTTAAAATAAAAAATATTGAAAAATCCACGTTTAAGGGCCTTTAAAAATTTTTGAAAATTTATTTTAAAAATCCACGTTTAAGGGCCTTTAAATATTTTTGAAAAATTATTTTAAAAATCCACATTTAAGGGCCTTGAAATATTTTTGAAAATTTATTTAAAAAATCCACGTTTATTGGCCTTTAAATATTTTTGGAAAATTATTTAAAAAATCCACGTTTAGACCCTTTAAATATTTTTGAAAAATTATTTAAAAAATACACGTTTATTGGCCTTTAAATATTTTTGAAAATTTATTTAAAAAATCCACGTTTAGAGGTCTTGAAATATTTTTGAAAATTTATTTAATAAAGCCACGTTTAGAAACCTTGAAACAATATTTAAAATTTATTTAAAAAATCTATTTTTAGAGGACTTGAAACAATATTGATTAGAGGCCTTGAAATAATATTGCAAATTTAGTTAAAATCCACGTTTATTGGCCTTTAAATATTTTTCAAAAATTATTTAAAAATCCACGTTTATTGGCCTCTAAATATTTTTGAAAATTTATTTAAAAATCCACGTTTATTGGCCTCTAAATATTTTTGAAAATTTATTTAAAAATCCACGTTTAGAGGACTTGAAACAATATTGATTAGAGGCCTTGAAATAATATTGCAAATTTAGTTAAAAATCCACGTTTATTGGCCTTTAAATATTTTTCAAAAATTATTTAAAAATCCACGTTTATTGGCCTTTAAATATTTTTCAAAAATTATTTAAAAATCCACGTTTATTGGCCTCTAAATATTTTTGAAAATTTATTTAAAAATCCACGTTTATTGGCCTCTAAATATTTTTGAAAATTTATTTAAAAATCCACGTTTAGAGGCCTTAAAATATTTTCAAAAATTATTTTAAAAATCCACGTTTAAGGGCCTTTGAAATATTTTTTAAAATTTATTTAAAAAATTAACATTTAAGGTCCTTTGAAATATTTTTTAAAATTTATTTAAAAAATTAACATTTAAGGGCCTTTGAAATATTTTTTAAAATTTATTTAAAAAATTAAGATTTAAGGGCCTTTGAAATATTTTTGAAAATTTATTTTAAAAATCCACGTTTATTGGTCTTTTTATATTTTTGAAAATTTATTTAAAAATCCACGTTTAGAGGCCTTAAAATATTTTCAAAAATTATTTTAAAAATCCACGTTTAAGGGCCTTTGAAATATTTTTTAAAATTTATTTAAAAAATTAACATTTAAGGTCCTTTGAAATATTCTTTAAAATTTATTTAAAAAATTAACATTTAAGGGCCTTTGAAATATTTTTTAAAATTTATTTAAAAAATTAAGATTTAAGGGCCTTTGAAATATTTTTGAAAATTTATTTAAAAAATCCACGTTTATTAGCCTTGAAATATTTTTGAAAATTTATATAAAAAATCCCCGTTTAAGGGTCTTGAAATATTTTTGAAAATTTATTTAAAAAATCCCCGTTTAAGGGTCTTGAAATATTTTTGAAAATTTATTTAAAATTACACGTTTAGAGGCCTTCAAGTATTTTTGAAAATTTATTTAAAAATCCAGGTTTAGAGCCCTTCAAATAATTTTGAAAATTTGTTTAAAAATCCATGTTTAAGGGCCTTAAATATTTTTGAAAAATTATATAAAAAATCCACGTTTATTGGCCTTTTTGTATTTTTGAAAATTTATTTAAAAAATCCACGTTTATTGGCCTTTTTGTATTTTTGAAAAATTATTTAAGAAAATCACGTTTATTAATCTTTTAATATTTTTGAAATTTATTTGAAAAATCCACGTTAAAGGGCCTTGAAATATTTTTGAAAATTTATTTAAAAATCCCCTTTTAA